AATCCTTAACAGGGACCCCCGGAATCCGCGCATATTTCTTACTTTTGGGGCCAGACCTCCATGACCTGGACCGACACGAACACTGAATCCAAGGAATCTATGGCAACTTCAGGGGCCTCGGGGTTGAGGATTTAGGGGGTCGACATGAGAGCCCCTATGTAGCCCATCTCTAGACATTCTGCGCATTAGAAACTACCCCTCACCTGCGCCACTGCCTACTCTACAGTTGCTGCAGGGAATCCTGCATGACCCTAAGACCAAAGTTTTTCTATGGTGCTACCATGCTTGCTACTGCCTGGGAAGGATTTCGTCCGTCAACAGTACGTAAGCCCAAACTTGAACGAGCCCTGTATTGAGGCTCATCTCGCTCTGTTTCTGCCTAGCTTGTACCCGGCGATGGCTTATATTGGACTACTTGTTGCTTGGTTCGCCAATGGCAATGTTGTTTATCTTTTTCCGCGGGGTGGACCTCAGTTTGGTCTTTCAGGGTCGCGGGCTCTAGGGTCTTGGTTAAGGGTTTAGGTCCCCGCAGTTTTTTTTTATACTTTAAGGATATTTGGTGTGCATTTTATCTAGACTTTAAGGATATTTGGTGTGCATTTATAAAGAAGTTGCAGCCTTTTTGTGCCTGCCTTGTTGGGGAAGAGAGGCTGAGTTTTGGCATCCACCTGAACCTTGGCCGCACAATGGGAAGCTACTCTCCCCCAAAGTAACAACCATGACACCACTGTCCTTGCTGGGATTCCTCTGCCGTTCCAGCCCAATGTCCAGTAGCTATATGGGAAGTGCCCACCGTAACTTCCACGGATTACGTTTTACAGGACGGGGTACAGTAAATGGTGCAGCGTTTTCCTTTGAACACCTGTCATCTAGGAACTTGTGACTTTCAGGGATCTTTAGCCCCTAGATCCAGACTGGCCCGAACTCCAACTCTTGGCTGGGGCCTGTCCAATCAAGACAGTAAAATTATGAGCAGGCGGCCCAGGCGCAAGGAATCCCACTCAGCTCTAGCCCCTTCAGCGCTGCACAGAGTCTGAGCTAGAGATGGTGCCGGTTCGCATGAAAAGCAGAATGTGTGGGGAGCTTGAAGGATTCACTGGGACCTTGGAAGAGGTGAGTGAAGTTGATCTGTTGTCATTTTATGATGATGGGCTAGCTTCCAGGGCATAGTGAAGAAGTATACATTGACTACATAACTACTAGCAAAGTGGCCTTCTCATGCGAAACAGAACTGGCGTGCTTATAGTAATAGGGTTATACACCTTCAGCGGAATTCTAACTGCTATGCCCCTACATCCTTTTCTTCACACAACCACGATGTAATTCCAATTTCCATGTCATACTCAACTTCGCGTGCCACTGTCCTACATACGTGTATACGGCCCTGCAGTACATTTGTTGCAGTTGTCCTTTCTCCACACCCGGCCTAAGCCCCCAGCTAAGCTCTAAGTCGTGTTTTCCCCACCCAGCTTGTGGGGCTGTTCCATTCCAAGAAGACATGCTCTCCTCGCCCAGCCAGTGGTCTTTCTCGATCCATGACCAGCCTTCCCGTGCCCAACCCCAAGATTTTTTCGCAGAGTTGAGGTAAGAAAGATACTTTTGGACCAAAAGTTATAGTTGAGATGCTCAGAGAAAAATAACCGAGATTTCAGGCAGGGTTGAGCGCCTTCGCCATTTCAGGACGGTACTCGCAACCGCGTTCGTCGGAGATTCTATCGGTCCAGAGCTCAGTCAAGCTTGCTTCTACAGGGCTGCGGTTTCCAGTTTAAAGGTGACATGGACAGTTGTGAAAGTCCAGAGAAACCAGCTCCCTGCAAGGGGAGGGTTTTGATTCATCTGTACGCGAAGATCAGGATCCTTTCTACAAGAATACTCTTGCATTTTAAGAGCTTTCCCATGCGGTCTTGCAGCTTTGATTTGGACACTCCAACTGACATTTCTCAAATGGGGGTCCTTCTGTACTCCAGCAAGAGGGTCCTTATCGCACCTACAGCGCTCAAAGAACCCTTGATTTTGAGAGACTTCCACATGAAGCTCATCGAGTGGAAGGTCTCTGACACGGTTCTCTAAGTTTCATGGCTCGCCCTGGAGACCTTTGAGTTCGACTTGAGAAATTGCCTGGCAAGGGTTTTTCTGAGATAATAAGCACGAGGATCATAAAGCTCTGAAATCTCCAAATGCTACACACGTTGGACATTCGAAGCCGTTACAGTGAGGGAGGGCTATGAAAATATCCTTATGGTGCCGCTCCTTTCAGCCAATTTTCTGACACCCAAGCTCTCAACCCTAAAGCCGTAAGCCCGAACTTCTCAATCCTAAGCATTTATTCTCAGTCCGTAGGCCCCAGCCCTGATCCAGTATCCTCCTGAACAACAAGCCATGCGTGCTGGGCGACTACATGGTCAGAGCACACGTAAGCACCACACCCGCAACCACTCTAAAGCTGCAACGCTGATAAAGCACCAAAGCATAAGGGCTTCAAAATCGTGTGCAAAAGGCCGAAGGGCCAGCTTCAACAGCCTCTGGTACACCCTCGCATGGATGTGCCTCTCGTTTGACACCTGAGATGGCTGGGGAACCCTGACTGTCCAAAGGGGCCCTCGTACACCCGTCAGTAAAGTCTAAAGGCTGAGTCCTATGCCCGGTGTAACCGTTCGTTCTCAACGGTCATTTGATTTGGTTTCAGAAAGGCACAATAACTTGGGAATCGTGTAAAATTTTCGCATGAGTTTAAAGCCCTTCCGAAGAGGATTGTGCAAGCTTTTTGAATTATCAACAAGTATTTTTGATAGCGTCCTAGTTGCATGTAGTCATACCGTGAAGCCAAAACTCTGACCAAAAGTGCTTTTCTTCATCATGCCTCTCATGCCGAGTGACACGCTTCAGTCTTACCCTTGCAATGAGTGTCCATTCTTCCAAGAGTTGTACGATCTTGAATATTGGCTTGAGAATCTTGAGGTTCGGGCGGGGGGTGGCTAAGGATGGACCCCCAAACTTGACACATGCGGGCGTATCAAAGGTTCCAGAAAGCCATCGGTTCCTACTGCAGCCAGTTGGGTTGAGAAGGCCCTATGTTCGGTCTGAGGATTTGGGTCCTTCCTTTAGCCAAGGGCTCTACCATTTTGGCTGCCAGGTGGCCTGCTGTACGGGTATTCCTACATGCCTACAATTAAATATCCCTGCAACCCAAACCCTGAAGTCTTGAAGCTGACTGGATGGACCACTACAAACTTTAATTTGGTATTCATTATCGGGCTTTGTATCATAAATCTTTAAAGTTCAAAACCCTGCTACTTGCTCTTGCTTAGGACACGAGACTCTTATATGTTGTATCCCCAGCAGGATGGTTCCACAGATATATATATATATATAAATAAACATATGTACATATACATATATATCTATACAGATGACATAAGATATATCAGTGCACACATTTTCCAGTAAATATATCCCAACTGACGCAAGATTTCCTTATCCATTGCGCTCTGCCCTGACAATCATGGTGGTCTCGCAATTTGCTCTTCTCTGCACGGATCTGTTAAATTTGAGTCAGACCTGTCAAAAGCCAAGTCATTAGCTAGTAGTTGAAATGGAGCGCTAAGCTGCGGTGCAGCAGTGGTTGGAAACAACAAGACATTATGGGATCATGCATATATCAGACCGTTCCTCCAAGCAGCTTCTGAAACATTGCGTTTGCCATCATGTCTGGTGAGGATTCTAGGGCGCAAAGCGCATCCGGGTGTTGATGAGCAAATCCTGTTTGACTTCATATAGCGGAACCCCAGGAATCCTGGCACTGTGTACGCTGAGGGTCATGTGTGGTTCTGGCCCTCAACCACAGGAACACCTGCACAGCCCCAGGAACGTACCAGGCAGGTCACTTTGTGGCTTTGACCTACCTTGACTCCTAACCCTGTGATCTCTGAAGCTTGGTGAGAAACTCAGGTTTTGCAGGCGCATCGCTCTTCATCCTGACATACCTGACGCGGAAGACTTGCAAAGTGTGACCTGAGTCGAAGTACTAACTTTCAAATGGACAACAGCGATCCGTACTGGGGTCAGCATGTGAAAATGGATGAGGGGTTAGGAGTAGGAAAGCCCAAGGAACGAGAGGGATTGGTGTAGGCTTTTCGTAAGGACTCCAAGCCCTAAACGCTCAACCACCCATCTGCTGCATGTCCAGGTCCTACTGCATAGTTGCCTGCGTTTTAACAAGTCCAAGGCGGGCCCTTGGTGGAGAGTCTTGAGCTTCCGAGGGACCGCCTTGTGATGCAGTTCGTTCTGCCGCCAAATGGCGGCAGACAGAGGGCAGAGCTACGTCAGGAATGGAACGAGGTCATGTTGCAACACCTCCCTCAAGACCCTGAGGCCCCGGAGCCCTCCTTCGGTAGAGCACGTGACATGTGCGATAGCTTCCGAACTTACTGACACAATATCTCTGCGTCTACACTCCAAACCAAGAGAAACTTCAGGTCCCAATCTAGAGCTCGGGGATTGTAAGATTTGAGACAAGCCCATCTTTGTCCTGCTATGTGCAGGGACTTCCGAGGGTCTGTGTTCATAAGGCTCCCGAAACATGTGCGTGTGAGCCGCATTTCTTGTATCCATGGTTGACCTTCTGATGGCTCATTCAATAGCCGAAGTGGCTTCAACAGCGTTTCGCGGCTTAGCCTACTACAGCTACACAAGTTCCCCTCGCGTTTTGGGTTGAGGGTTCAGACCACCTGCATGCCAAAACATGAGCCCTTACACCCTCAGCCCCATATCCTAAGTCGCATGACCTAAAGACCTAAAGCCTAAGCCCTGAAACCGAAGCGTTTAAGCCTCGGATTGATGTCTCAGCTCATTGTTGGGTCAGGAGCACTATTTCCAATCTCGCTTTTCTTCAGCCCCCGCGGCACTTCGGAGTGGAGGGATCACTAAACACGCGGGACATCGAACGTGCTTATTCAAATCCCAAGCTTTTTCAGCCTCGAGAACTCCGGCGTGAAGCGCAGGTCGCCTCCCTCCCCACATAGACTGCAAAGAATGGCGGAAAAGGACCAGCGTCCACGAGAGGAAGAAGAGAAGGAAGAGGAGTCAAATGCCGAATCGGAGCCTGAAGCATCCGGGGACTCCGACGACGGCGATGACGACCGTGACTTCAACATCGGCAAGGGCACAGCAAAGAACCACATAAAGGGCCTGATGATGGTAGAGGGGACCACCCTGAGGTGTGAGTTGTGCTAAACAGGGTCCCTGCTTCGGTCTAGAGCTTTAGGGTTTATAGTTGTTTTGGTCCCCTCTTTGCCAGGGGTTCTTCGCTTAGGGTCTCTGTCAGGCCTAATTCAGAAGCACCAACCTGAGGTGCAACTGGCTTGACCCTGCACTGATGGAGGATTACGTGAACTCTTTCGGGAAGAGGACCAAACCCGATGTGGCCAAGGTGTGGATGTCAATGCATGGTATGTCAGAGGGTTTCATTGGGTTAATGATTAGGCTCTGGCCGCCTATGATTGGCCAGAAGAAGAATGCTCCCAAAAGCAATTTCTTTCGAGGAGCCCGACGAGGCGGATCTGATCAAGTTGGAGGCTGCCGCCAGCACGACGGAGCGTCTTCAAGTGATCGGGTGTCGGTACTCCCACGAAGTGTCCAGGCGCGAGTTTTTCTTATAAGGTGCTCTTGCCCCCACATTGCAAGGCTCCAGTGTCCGGGTGCGGAGGTATGGTCACAAGAGTGATAGAAAGGCCAATGAGTGTTGGGAATGTCCCAGGTATCACAAGGCTCAGCTTTCGCCCCTTCGTACGGCGGCCATCACGAAGACAGTCTCGGACTCGCTGGCAAACCGCTTGGCGGTGTTGCGAATCGACAACTTCCCCGGCTCCGGGGATCCCGTCTTTGGTACACGACATGAGCTGCGTAGAAGCTTCCGGGCCCCTGACTGCTTCGGGAAGCTTACGGAGGCCTTCAAAGGCAGCCAGTGCGGCCTCAAGAAGCTGACGCTGCAGGACGGGCTTTGGAGAGCATGCAGACCATACGTCCTCAGTCAAAGTGCAATCCTGAAGCAGCATTAGGAACGTGATATGCCAGAAACCTGGGCCTGAGTAGTCCAAACTATTGAAGGTTCGGGCACCCTCGAGAGGACCCTAGCTTACAGCAATCCATGTGCATGCGGACTATACGAACAACCCCTTTTTCCCTGTGAGCCGTTAAAGCCTTGATAAGTGTATTCTACGACCTGAACCCAGGGCGGCTTCCACTCAGCACAGTCCATTGCGAACTTCCTGCGTGTGACGCAGCCCCATCTGCAGTCTTTCCGTTGCCGAGGTCGGGTTTGGGTAGTTTGCGGTTGTGTTTTGGATCTAGTGCATTCAGGGTTTCATATTGGGGGGATAGGGTTCCTGGTTCAGTATAGGTTCTCAGCCGCGTACGTTGTTTCGCTTGTTTTTTTTGCTGGGCGGTTTCTTGGGCATGCCCAGGTTTGGGCTCTAGACCGTGGGTTGGTACAATGCTACAGGATCTTTCGAGGCAAATCCAAACCCCAAAGAACGCAAGAAGTGAAGAGGATGCCTCTTTCACGGGCGCAACTTCGAGATGCTTGTTAAATCGCTGGGCTCTGTGGCTGGGGAGAGCCTGCAGGAGTTCGAGACGGACGCCGCCATCGGTGGCCAGGAGTTTCGGGTTCGATGCTGTACAAGGGGTGTGGGAGAGTCTGGTTCTTGGGGAGGTTAGGTGGGGTCCTTTCCCGCCTGAGCCCTGCACCTTTAATTTAAGACATCCCAAAGCTACCCTGCCTGCTCTCTGGTCATGGCAGAAAGGCTGGTGCTCCCCAAAATTTGAAGATTTCCTGTGCAATCAGTTTGCCCTTCGAATGGCTATAGCAGTCAGCCTTGAACAACCCCAGTATCGAACCCTAAGCGAAAGAGTCTTGCATCATTCCAGGTATAGCAAAAGCACTTCTGTGCTCCAAAACCCCAGGCCCGAGCACACGAGTCTTCCAGGGTTCCTAAGCTAAACAGCCCAGAACCTTAAGCACGTGGATGTCAAATTCGAAACGACCAAGCCTTCTGTTGACAATATACCCTGAAACCCTAGACCCTAGTGACATAGCTGTACGTACAAGAATTTAAATATGGCCATGCATATCCTTATCACCCACTTAATCCAACCTGTAACTAGGGCCCCTCCCTGCATTGACCAGTATCAATTGCATCCCCAATTTCCTAAATGCCAGGATCCCTTCAGCCTGATTGCGGACGCCTTTCCGAAGCTGCGGATGCTGCGCGCCCCAAACATCTTTGGGAAGGCGAAACCCAACAAAACGAAACCCTCGCCTAGCCGACTTGAACCCCCCAAACCTGAACCCTACACTGGAAAGCCTCTAAGTCGCAGCCCTCAACCATAAGGTGGACTACAAACTGGCCTTGAAGCGCTTGAAGATGTTGCAGAGGACAGGAGGGCTTGATGTTTCAGGGAGGTTCGAGTTTAAGGAGGGGGATGTAGTCTTGATGAGAGTTGGGCTTAAGGGTGTGGGGATTAGTCAGGGTTTAAATTAAGGTTGTTGGAGATCTAGGGTTCAGGGCTTAAGATTCAACGTTGAAGTCTGCCTGCAGCATTGGGGGCATTGCTGCTTTTGCCCACGTCCGCCAGACGGATGGCTGGGATAGTACCAGGACAGTATTGAGTAATACTTGGACAGACTGGGTAGCACCCAGGAATCGTAAAGCAACCGGAGAAGTCCAGGGTGTATTCCTTGGCATGTATGCCAAGGTCCCTTTTCTCGCAGCAAACGCACAAAGCAAGCTTGCATTCAAGGCTGTTTGATGTCTTGCGCGCCTCGTACAGGAACATCATCAGCACAATTGGGACCCCATTTGGGCTTGCTTGGGACCAGGAGGGGTCAAAAACCCAAGGAAAGCCATCAAAGATGACTTTAGACATGGTTTTTTGTGCAGGCTGACCATGTTCTAGCCTACAATCGCATTTTGCTGGCATTGATCTTGACTCACATATGAGGCTTCAAGACGCCCCCAAAACCCTAGATATGTTGAGGTGGCCAAAAATGAGAAACGAAGGCCCAGTTGTGCTGATGATGCTGGCCCAAAAAAACATGCCCAAAACCTTCCGTAGCGTGGGGAAGCTTCAAAAACGCAGCCAAAAATCACCTTAATTTTTGACCCCCCAAAAACACACCTCAAGGGCCTCCAAGGGAGGGGGTCGGCGGAACGGGCCGTCCCCCCATAAGCATAGCTTAGCTAGGCGTGCATCCGCACTGGACCATGACGGCCAGGCCGGATTTAGGTACCGCAGCCCGGTCCGCTGAGAGGTTTTTCATGGCTGTCAGGGCATGGCCCCCTCGAAAAGCCCGGAGGCTTTTAGGTGCCACGTTCTGGTCCGCTGAGAGGTTTTTGGCTGTCATGGCTAGGCCTAAACTCGAAGGTTTTTGGCTGTCACGGTCTAGTACGCGAATAGCCGTCACGGTCTGGTGCGCTGAGAACATGTTTGAGGTATCTCATGGTGTTCCCAATAAAAAACTTCGACATAGGGGACGCGACCAAGACGAACGATGGTTGTGGTGGTGGTGGTGGCGGTGGTGGTGGTGGTGGTGGTGGTGGCGGTGGAGGTGGAGGTGGCGGTGGCGGTGGTGGTGGTGGTGGTGAATGTGGCAGTAGCGGAGTAGCAGTTGCACAGCCATGGTAGCAGGAGGAGGGGAGGAGTAGTGGTAGTTGCAGCGCGAAGCTGGAAGGCTAAGTTGCTTCTGTGCGGCCCGTGCCTACGTCTCATGTAAACGAGTCCACAGTGTTCTCAGTTCTTCGGCCCAACTATCTCGTTTGCAAAGTTGATTGATGTCAGCAGTTACACAGGAATATTCGAAATGGAGGATCCTCTTGTAGTTCCCATAAACAGGAGGAATTTTCAAAATCAGAAGAATGCTCAACTTCGAAAGCTTGACATGTACAATCCTGGGTTCAGACCTCAAGCACGACAGGAAGCAGTGCAAGCTCCCAGTGGAAAGCCACCGGCTCCGTGGGAAACCGGCCGTGGACACTGAGAAGGGCATGGTCTACTGGTTTATCACTTCCGAACACCATGACGATGGCCACCGTGGGCAGGGCTTGTGGTGGGATGAATGTAACAACACGATGGAGTGCTGCGAGGAGTGGGCCGTCGGCAAGGGTGTGACAAAAGAGCTCTGTCTTCAGTTTATGGCAGAGTGCGGCATTGAGCTTGACAACAGTATCGATGACGAGGAGTGCGGCCTGGATGACGGTTGTGATGACGATGTGGACTCGGATGCGGAGCCAGACGCGATCATCGCGCAGCTGGAAGTGGCGGGTCCTTCTGATGGCACGGTGACGCTCAAGGCAACTTCTCTTGACGGCAGGCAGATTGCCGAGATTGCCCTGGAGCCGAGCAAGACGCTTGTCAGAACGCTCGTGGATGAGCTGGCTGGAAAGTACCCATGCTCTCCAGTCGCAATGCGCCTCATCCTCCCCAACGGTTCTTGTATTGCTGCGATCGAGAAAGGCAACCAGTTGCTGGCGTCGGTGTTGGCCGGATGACGCAATCTCCTCTCGGGCCCCGGGGTCAGAGAAGGGGTTGTTGTCCTTAGTACGGGTCCCATAATGCCCCAAAATGTTCAGGACAACCCTGTATTGTTGAGCCGTACATAAATTTTGCGGATTGCAGATGAAGTTTTAAGTTGCTCCGCTCTTGGCCTGCGTGCAACATGCAGGACCCTGCAGCAGAGGGCTGCGTCCAAAGTCCAAAGCTGCAGAGCTTTTGCTGCACAATAGTTACTCAACTGCTCAGGGTGCAAGGCGGCCACCACCTATTGTGGACACCCTACCTTGTGGGTCCCAGATCGAATGTACAGATATGGTCCCTCTCCGAAAATCTGAAATCTTTGTTCGGCGTAGAGGCTTTCGTAACATATTGGAGGAACGGCTCTGAATTTTTGCTTTCTAGGATCGAACTACTACTTAGGGATTAGATACCTACGTCGTGAAACTTTTTCAGATTACTTTGTTGAGATTGAAGGGTGCTTTGGAGCCACTCTCGCCAATCTACTGCTTCGCACACCGTGCGCACAGGTATTTCCGGTAATTTAACAAACCTCATGAGCGCACTCCCCAGATGTGCTACTACGCTATCTAGCAATTGGATGGGCAATATCTGCCGAGAAGGTCTAATATGATAATATAGGATTAATTAGAATATCAATTATCTCCCCCCCTAGATGGAATACGAGAGGCTGCTGGCAACTTCCGCGCTGGACTATGATGAATAATTACGATGAACGGGCAGGATTTATAGCGGTCGCCTGCCTTGCACTGAATTCATATTTGGCTGATAATTAGGATATGCATACTATAATTAGGAAATACTTCTGAAGATCTTTTTGATCGATTCTTCAAAGATCTCTTATCTCAGAATTTATATCCAAATTCAAATTATATATTTCAATATTATTCAATTTCATTGAATATCCCTAAATTCATGTCATAATAGATTTGGAATTCAGACGATTTTATATTTTTCATCAAATTGAATAAAATAGAATAATTAAATTTGAATATTTGAGAAATATGATATATATATATATTCTCAAATATTTTTTTCATATTTCAAGATTTAAAATTATTATCTATAATTATCAACTAATTGAAAATTTATATTTATAAGAGATGATGAAAATGAGATGAATTCTTAAGGAGATATGATAGAAGAAATTTGGAATATGATATTATTTTATTATAGATATTTTAAAATTCTATTTTCTTGTAAAATATCTTTTTCTTCTGGACTGAAAAATATTAGATGATTCTCTTTCGAATTCGTAGAGATTTCGAAAATTAGAATGACCTCTTTCAATAGAATATCGTTATTGGGCAAATGAATTGATATATTAGAAAATAATTTTTGCAATCTTAAATTATACATATTTAGAATTTGATATTTCGAATCTTGAAGAAATTTCGAGATTTTGATCTTGAAGGCTAGCAGATTAGGAATAATTGAAAAGATTACGTCTTTATAGGCATTGCTTTCGACTCCTCTAAAAAAACTTATTTCGAAGCATTCTGAAGGAATAGATATATAGATTGGAATCCAAAAATTTGGAAAGGGATAATTTGAGATCTAGGATCTTCCGAGGCGAAAAGGAAGAAATCTCGCTATTCAAGATCTTTAATCTTCCCATTCGTTTGAGGGAACAAGAATCGCCAAAAGATTCGGCGTCCGTATTCTCCAATCGTGAAACCCCGCCACCACCCGCCACCAATTAGACGAGAAAGAAGACGCCGAAAGAAGGAAAAATATCAACGTAACAACAGATCCTCAAACGAAATGACGAATTAATGAGAAATTGAGATGCTCTATCTCCAATCATCTATTCGCTTCAGATCCCATCTCCTCAAATTCAGAATCATTATATCCTACGCATAGGATCCTATCAATAATTTCAATGATCATCTTCTTTCAGAATATATTTGCAGGAATGGCATCGAGAATTGCGTTTGATATCTTAATTATATCGCCTTTCCGATCGTCTAATTTGGGGCAGGGCAATTTATCAGCTGCTAAATTTCAGGCGGAGCGTAAACGCAGAGATCGGGAGATGGTCCAAAGATGTCATTCCCAGGATATAAGATTTGATCTACTGATTTTTGAATATTCTGGAGGCCTGGATCCGGAGGGAGATCGTATTCTGATTTCATTTTGCCGAGCTATCGATGATAAATTGCCTCGAAAAGCTGGATCTTCCTTTCAGATATTGAAATAACGTATTTCCTTCGTGATTCAGAAATATGGATATATTTATTTGCAGCGATCTAGCTAAAAATCCATGATTATTCTACTCAATTCCTGCAAATATATTCTGAGGAGAGATGATCATTGAAATTGATAGCAGGATCTCACGCGCGGGATATGATGATTCTGAATTTGAGGGGATGGGACCTGAAGCGAATAGATGATTGGAGATAGAGCATCTCAATTTCTCATTAATTCTTCATTTCATTTGAGGGTCTGCTGCTGTGTTGTTGCTTTTCCTTCTTTCGGCGTCTTCTTTCTCGTCAAATTCGTGGCGGGTGGCGGCGGGTTTCACGACTGGAATACGGACGCCGAATCTTTTGGAGATTCTTTTTTCTCAAACGAATATGAAGATGCCTAATTGGATTTCTTGGAAATCTTGAATTGCGAGATATCTCAGATTCTGACGATTTTTTCCTAGAGAATTTGATATGATATCCTTCTATCATTTAGTATACGCATACCTATATACATAATTCTCTATAGATATATGAATTTAAATCCGATTTATGACGTGGCTCTATTTCCCCGGCGGACAGAGCTGGGGCCTCTATTCTATTGATATATCATATAGCCGCGTGTAGTAGTTACTTCTCTTATAGGAGACTATCCACAGGTCATTCTATAAGAATTTAATATAGCAAATGATATTCTTGCTAGCCGCAGCTATTTTTGTCGCTTATCAAAAATGGCTAGGATCGGAGGAGCGTATAAACGTCCGTAGATAGACGGGACCAGCTTATAAATTCTGAAAGATTTGAATTTTCCATCCCGGATCGACGCGTTCCGCCGACCAGCCGCGCATACAATCAAAGAGAGATGAATCACGCGACCTGCCGCGGGGGGGGGAGGACCGCAGGCAATCAAAGAGAAAGAAATACTTCGAATCCTCGGGAGATTTTTGATCTTGCGGTCCAAGCTCTCCATCCCAGAATTTTCGCTTTATTTATCTCTCTTGGACTATTTATTGCGCGGGGAATCGGGGGAGCGCATGATAAATACGACTATCCCGAATCTATATATTCCGTCGAGAAGTCACGTATGTAATCAAAGAGAGAAATCCCACGAAAAATCGTTCCGGGAGGGAAGGACCGCGCGTCCATAAAATCTCGGAGATTTTTGGTCACGCTGCCCGCGCCAAAAATCTCGGAGATTCTAGAGCCTCTAGCCTTTCTGTTGGGCTCTAAAATCTCCGAGATTTTAGAGCTCCTAGGGAATCCGCAGGAGGCATTTTAGAGGGGATCCGGAAAGGCTAGGCCGCGCGCGCTTGAAATGATCGTAAATAATCGCGCCATAATATTGAGACATATAGAGATTTTTTGATGATAAAAATTTCCGACTTATTGATATATGATATATTTAAATTTGAGATTCATCTTTTGCAGAGATAAGAAGAATTCCTGAATAATACGAAACAAATATTTACGGTTATTTCGCTCGCGCGGCCTAGCTTTTCTAGCTCACCTTTAAAATACTTCTTCTGCGTCTGCTAGGGGATCTAAAATCTCGGAGATTTTAGAGTCATTCGGAAAAGCTAGAGGCTCTAGAATCTCCGAGATTATTGGTGCGGATGGCACGACTCAAAATCTCGGAGATTTTTGATCGCATGGCCCGTGCCTCGGGAGCGGTTTTCCCCCTGATTTATCTTTCTTTGGCTATCTGCGCGATTACTCGGGGAATCGCATAGATCCAGAACGGAGAATCAAAATATTTCCGATTTTATAATTTGGCCGTATCTATCTACGAGGATTTATATATTTCTCTGAGCCATCGTATAGATAATTCAAGAGAGATAAATGAGGCGGAAAGATTGGGCCGGACCGGATGGAGGGATCGCATGACCAAAAATCTTCCGAGATTTTGAATCATTCCTCTTTCTTTGGCTATCTGCGCGACGGTTCGCTGGAATATATAGATGCCGAGGCGGAAATCCAAAATCTTTCAGAATCGTTTTTTGCACGTACGAGATTATATATTGATTATTCATCAGATTATACGTGCGATCTTATTTGATAGACGCGATCTATTTCTTTGGCCGTCTATGCGGCCATTCGAGGGAGCGCATAGATCCGGGACGGAGAATTAAATTCTTGCCGAATTTTCAGAATGGTCGCGTCTGTGCACGGGGATTTATGCATTCCCCCGAGTCGCCGTGCAAATAGCTCAAGAGAGATAAATGAAGCGGAAAGATCGGGTCGGATACGGGGGCTGCGCGAGCGAATACAAATTTCTGGGATTTCATATGCGGTCTTATCTATTCTGCGTGATACATATCTCTTTGCCTATCTACGCGGCCTAGAATGCATAGGACGGAGAAAATAGGAATATATTTTAATCGAATTAAATATTTGGATTCAAGAAAAGATCTTCCTAAATTATTAGAATAAAATATATTTTCATAAAATCCTATATAGATTAAATTCAGAATATATATATATAAGAGATCTTTGCTCATTCATATCTATCTATTCTATTCCTTTCGAATAGAGAATTTCAAGAATAGAATATTCATAAATTCAAAATCGAATCATATGATACGATAATCTATAATATTCTAATTATATATTAAATTTTCTTGATCAATGACGTTTTTATATATATTTTTCTAAATTCAAAATTTATCATAAATATTTTTTTGATATTCATATATATATTCTATATCCTTTTAAAATTTGAATCGATCCATTGCCTATAATAACGGAAAATGATCATTTGAAAAAATCTATAATGAGAAATCTCTTGATTAATC